GGCTCCCCCGGCTCCCCCCGCCCGGCTCCCGGCGGGGCCGCGGCCAGCTCCAGCCTGCGCTGAAACTGAGCAGACCCTCCCCGCACCCCCCAGCTCTGCTTTCTTTCACATCTAATTTGATAGGAGGGTGATTTCAAGCTTCCCACAGTTACAACTTTTCTTGATTTCTCCCTTTGCCCCCCCTCCCTGCGCATTTATTACTTGCATTTAATTAATTCCTTCTTTGCGTTTCCTTTCCTGTTAATCTTTGGGTGACTGCTTTGTACATATGGCAATCTGATAATGAGGGAGTTTATCCTTATTCTCTATACTTCTTCATTGCGATGTCCACCCGTCTAGTGCCTGGGATATCGATCAGCTTTCCTTGGGGAGGGGGACAAGGTAAGAGGGGTGATAAAAGATTTGCAGTATCCCACACCATTAAGAATAGCTTTTATTCCTTGGCACTGTTTAATCAACTGTTATATCAAGTCATGCTGTTTAAGCAACCACATCAAAAGAACATACCCTCTTTTGTATAAATTATATATTCCTTGTATCTGTCTTCTCACATGCACGCAGACGGGGAGATAAAACTTAAGTTTGTTTTTTAATAGCGTGAGGCAGGTATTTAGCTGTTATACAACTTGTTTCTGCAACTAAGTTGCCTGATAAAAACCTAGAAGCCAAGCTGCTGACTTTCTAACTTTGTACCCATTCCCAAGTCAAAACTCCTAAATTTAAAGCTCGGAAAGAGAAATCAACGATTCACTGAAACTCTACAAAGAAACATAAATAGCAGAAGAAAAGCATAGGCTAAAAAAGAGGGAAGAGCACCAGTTAGAGTCGGTGTGAGAGCTTCGGATCGCTTCTTTCGGCTCTTTTCTAAAGTTTACGCAGAAAGGCCACTTTGTCCCTTGTAAAGTCCATGCTGCCCCGCTTGTTACAGTTTACGGATATACAACTTTTTTACCACTTAAAACCTCATTTTAAAGTCCATTTTCACATGGTCTAAGTTGATTACGACTCAGCTCGATGTCACAGACCGGAAAACTCCCGTACAATTGCTCGCCCCAAAGAGCTTCTTTTTAAAAAAAAAAAAACTTAAATAAAGTTGATTTGTTTTTGTTTTTCTGAGAGGGTGGACTTTGACTTACTTCAGCGTGTCGCCCTGGCATTTTTAAGAACTCTTACAAAACTCCTGAAACTTTCTAGATCCTAGGACAAATTGTATTTTCTTAGGAGCAAAAGTAAATGAGCTCTTTACAGGCAGAGAAGTGTTTGTTCATATGGGACTCTGCTTTTCTGTCTAACCTGCTCTATCAGCCCCATCTCTGCAATTTTGCTCGTCTCTCAACACCTTTGTCTGATTAGTAGCTTTTGGAGATCGGGATAAAGACATCACTTGCCACGCTGCATGAGATAACAATTAATTTAACATTAAACTTATCCCCTTTCCATTCACTTTGCTTGGATCGATCTCTGTTAATTGTGTTTGCGGATGCTTTCAACACTATGCTTTTCTTAAAAACTTAATGACACCCCGCAAGGAGGTGTAAGAGTCTAAACCGCTTCTCTTCGACTTCGACCAAAGAAACAAAGAATATAGCCCCAGCGTGCTCAGGAGACCATCTATTTTTCATCAGATGACTTTTCATGCACTTCTGAAGGTACAACATTATTTTAAGTTAGTCCTGCTTTTATTTTTTTTTTTTTTTAAAGTGCCATTTAGGTCCCTCCACGTTGCAGTTGTGCGGTACACAAGTCAGACACGCTAACTTCATATAACTGCCGCCTCGCATCAGACTTACTTGTTTGTGCCTTTAAAGCAGTCATTTATCAGCTAAAAGGCGAGTGTGTTTAAAAACGTATGTCTTTAGGAGGGAGAGCAATCTCCCTTTTCGAGAGGAAGAAACCTGTTACAAAACCATTTAGGTGGGTGCGCTTTTAAATGGCATTATTCCCCCCCGGGCGCTAATATTTCCCCAATACGTTTCTCTTTGGACGGCTCCCCGATAATTCGGCATTTTATTTAACCGCAACTGCCCTTAGAAACTTGACTTGCACTGAGGCAGCCTGCTAATCTTATTTATTATTTTTTTTCTCTTTCACAGAGGCATCTGTTCCTCTTGCTGACAAATGTACCATTCTGCCAAGAAAGTTTTTGAAAAAAAAAAAAAAAACAACCCAGCGTGTAATTGATGTTATCCCAAGAAAGCGCGATCTCCACCCCTCTCAGCTCCAAGCCCTTCAGGTAAAAGGAAAAAAAAAAAATCTTTCAAGAATTTGTTGCCTTTTTGAGGGTTAAAACATCAGAAGACAAGCTTGTCTCGCCTTGGCCAATCAGCTCTCGGCCCTGGCAGCTATAATATAGAACTAAAGGCAGACTCCTCTCACAAGCGTCTTGCTTTGCTACCATTAAAATCAGACCCTTTTTTTGTCTCTCGATTGCTGTCTCCCGACCAAACTCCGATGTGTTCCGTTATCAGCGACCTAAAGCCTGCCATTCCAGCACCTGTCTTGCTAGGGATCGGTGGATAGTATACGATTCAGAAAGCAGACAAGGACATAGGAGGAGAGAGAGCTCTAGAGAGACAGCCAGGGATAGGCACAGAGAGCTTTGAAGTAATTGGATTCAATGGACGAAATGCTGCTGTTGACAAGAATTCTCTTGGTGGGCTTCATCTGCGCTCTTTTAGTCTCCTCTGGGCTGACTTGTGGACCAGGCAGGGGCATTGGAAAAAGGAGACACCCCAAAAAGCTGACCCCTTTAGCCTATAAGCAGTTTATTCCCAATGTGGCAGAGAAGACCCTAGGGGCCAGTGGAAGATATGAAGGGAAGATCACAAGAAACTCCGAGAGATTTAAAGAACTAACCCCAAATTACAACCCTGACATTATTTTTAAGGATGAAGAGAACACGGGAGCTGACAGACTGATGACTCAGGTAGAGCCACAGAGATACCTGTATTTGTGTTTGTTAACCTCTCTGAGCAATCCTAAAGGACGCATCTGTCTTAGTATTTTTGAAAGCCCCATCTTTCCCTCTCCCCCTCCTCCCCCCCCCCCTCCCCCCTCCACCCTTTCCCTCTCCCCCTCCTCCCCCCGCCCCTCCAAACTCGGCTAGTTTCCCCCATTGAATGTAAATACCATCTATCCAGACAAGTTAGCAGGGGCTGGAGCTGGAGCTATCTAGATATTTGGTGGGGGAATCTGTGTGATACTTACAGGCATTACCGTGCCATGGCGTTCCCTGTAACTTGGTTAGAGATTGCTGTTTGCGTTTGTCCCCAAGGATGCACTTTGATCAAACGAATTGCATACAGCTCAGAGGACCCCAAGTGTATAGTGACCGCCAGGCCACTCACTCATTATTACAAACGTAGTCCTCGGTTGCTACGCCTGCTGACTTGATTCTTTTATATATATTTTATTTCATTTCTTTCTTTTTTTCCCCCTTCATTTCATTTTAGCCGTCATTATTATTTTTTTTCCTCGCGAGCATATTCTAAATTTAGTAGGCATGTAGCCGTGCACTCACAAAAGGCAGCTGAAGCCGGATCGACTATTCCTCTCCTGATTCCGTATTATATAGCTCGTATTGCAATACCATCATTTGCAATTGTGCCCATCAGAGCGTAAATATATTGATATTTCTTTAAGGATGCTCGCCACCAATGCTCTGGTACTTCCATAGGGGAGGGACTTGCAACTTATCGGCATTGCATCACCTTCTGTTTTAAAAAATCTGATGGCACAAGGTTTACAACTGGGTAAATATTGGATCTCGGGTGGAATCAGATTGCGGAACCATTTTATGCAAAAAAAAAAAGAGAGAGAGAGAGAGAGAACCTCTCCGAGAGTCACCTCATAATTATTATTCATGCTCAACAGAGAGCTCGGTGAAGTCGATCGCTCTGCCAATCCCGGAGTTTCTGAAACTACATGCAATCTAGACACTGGAAATGGGTTTCCTCCAAATATAGGTCAACAGCGCTTTTTTAATATTAATACATTTAAGCCCCACCTTCAGTGCTACAACAGGACTCGCCTGGAAGGACTAGGCGGGGAGTGGACGCGGGGAAGGGGGGGTGGGGGGTGGAATTTCCCAAACTCTCCCCGTTCCCCGGCCTGATTTTCCGCACGTTTGCCGGG